ATTAACAAATGTTGTAATATTAGGCTATTTGTGCAGAAATTGTGTAGTCAGTATGTTCATTAGAAATTTGTGATTTCACTTAAAAATTGTACTCAAGCAATACAACTTAACTTCATATCCTCACTGTGAAGCCCATTTCTGGTGTTCCCTGCCGTGATGTTGCTGGAATATTGCTAAAAGCGGCGTAAAGCCAAACTCAGTCAGTCATATCCTCACATATATATAAAATCATGTCCTGGGTGTTCGAATCCATATTCAATTCCAAGCATTTCTTTGAGTGGCGTTTATAGAAGTTGGAGGTCAGATAGAACAAGTATATGGATGACAACTTCTTTTATTCTAGAGCACGACGTTTTGATACAGGTTCTTGCATCGTTTTCAAGTATGAAAGTATGGATATACTTGTTCTATCCAATTCCAAGCAATAAATCTGAAGGTGACCTCTTCATTAAAAACCTGTTTTTCTTGATATGATGAACACGGCGTTTTCGAGTATATTCTTTCTCCTTCAGCATCGTGTTCCTCATAATAAAAAAGTTGACATCCATAGATTTTCACCTTTTGTGGGTATCGCTTCTTAATGCGAACAGAAAAATTAATGTCAAACGTATGTATCTGATTAATCTATTTCATATGTTTATAAGTTCTCTTTTGATTTTGTCAAATCATTTTTCACTTGTACACTATCAAAAACTATGTTCAAACATAAAAACAAATGATTAGTTTGCAAGTGACCAGTAATTAAGTGAGTGAGTGAGTTAATATTTAACGTCACATCGGCAATATTTCAGCCATATCGTGACGAGAACATATTTGACATTGAAATGGAATATCTGTATATTATAAAAACCTGTCATCAAAGGACAATAAAACAACCAGATTTATGGCAGTGATTAATATTTTGTGTTAAAGAAAATTGATGCTGATTTCGTATTTTCCGAAACATATAGCGGAGAGGCCTCATAGGTGTGTTGCATGTGTAGAATCCATTTGAGTTTGGGCAGTAAAATATGTTTAAAAATATGGCAGTATTCAATGAGCAGACAGAACAAGTTTGATGAATGGTGTGTTTACGAGGACAGGCTTGAAATGCTACCTATGGTGTGTTTACGAGGACAGGCTTGAAATGCTACCTATGGTGTGTTTACGAGGACAGGCTTGAAATGCTACCTATGGTGTGTTTACGAGGACAGGCTTGCAATGCTACCTATGGTGTGTTTACGAGTGTGTTTTACGAGGACAGGCTTGCAATGCTACCTATGGTGTGTTTACGAGGACAGGCTTGCAATGCTACCTATGGTGTGTTTACGAGGACAGGCTTGCAATGCTACCTATGGTGTGTTTACGAGGACAGGCTTGCAATGCTACCTATGGTGTGTTTACGAGGACAGGCTTGCAATGCTACCTAACCCACTGACAAAGAAACATAAATCGGTCATGACATTGAAAGTCAGGAATGAAAACAGCATCAGTATAAAAGAAGTAATACATAAAACTGTCATCAGGATCCTAATCAAAAGAATCGCTTCCCCATCTAACTTTCACTTAAATGACCAAAATAAATCCTGATCTAATTACAACACTTACAACTGTTTTTAAAAAAATGTTATCAAAATTTGACCACATCAGATAAAAAGATCCAAGCCATGTCTATTTGCTGTCGTTGTAGATGTATGTGACTGATGCTTTAGTTAAATTGTTTTTGTAATTCTGATATTTTTTCAATTCAAATCAGACTTTTCTTCACTGAATGGTTTTCCCTGACAATGTCTCAGAAATGGATGAATAAAAAAATTGATGAATCGATTCCTATAAAACCATCTTTTACTCAATCTCCCAATTTTCATTTATTGATGCTACAAACTAGAAATATATTTTTGGTACTGTTGGGAAGACAACTTATCTTTATAATCAATTACTGTTCGTGAACATGTGATTGCCAGTTATTTCACAGTGCTTATTGGATGTCTTATAAGTAATACTTTTGATTGAAACAAATATATTTGATGCTCCACTTGGTTTATTTTCATTCACTGAGTCATAAATTCCAGTATCAGCTGTAGGGAATATAGCGGCATATTACGATAAAACTGTCAGATATATATTGTTTGATGTTATTTTCTTTGATGGTTGGCTGCAGTACTTAGTTTAAAATATTTGTTATACAGGAGTTCTTCTTTTACAGACCCGTGAAGATCCCGTTGGGAATTGATCTTCAGTAACCCATGCTTGTCGTAAGAGGCGACTAACGGGATTGGGTGGTCAGGATAGCTGACTTGGTTGACATGTCATCGGTTCCCAATTACGCAGATCGATGCTCATGCTGTTGATCACTGGATTGTTTGGTCCAGACTCGATTATTTACAGACCGCCGCCATATAGCTGGAATATTGCTGAGTGCGGCGTAAAACTAAACTCACTCACTCACTCTTCTTTTACAGCTACCCTGCGTCTGTAGCATCTATGCGTGTAGGGAAGGACATGTTCACCGTTTTGCGAAGACCTTCGTCATCACTTGTTTTCAGTGATCCATTCATATTATTTTCTTCACTATTTCAGCTTTTATGTCCAATGGAATCTGTTTCTGGATAATTGGGACTGGTTATTCTCTAGCGTTGACATTTAAAGTAAAACACTTTGATGCATAACTGACCTATTTTTGTCTAAGATGTGTCCTGCGTTTAACAGTGATGTTCATTTACTGGAGACATAAAAGGGAAAAGCTAACATGCTGCAAAAAATTGCGTAATGTGCGTCCCAAGGGAAGGGATTATGTTGATCCTGGGGTTTTGGTTAGGTTCTTTCAACACTGCATGGAACAGATAACCAGTAACTTCAAGTTTTGAGTAGCTGTTTCAATATAAAATTCACTGACATTTTAAGAGAGAAAAGTAAGAAACATATTAAACAGCAACCATACAGAGTAACTTGAAGGTGGGGCAGTGTTCAGATGATGAGATACTAGTATATCAATCTGTGACACCATGAACAATGATGACGTCATGTCATATTTTGCTTGACAATGAATATGTCATCAGTACTGAAAATGGAAATGCATATGACAAACTACGGTTATTGCTAAAATTTGTGGTCTCTTGAAGTTCGTTTCATGTTAAATGGGACAGTAGGGTAGACTAGTGGTTAAGGCATTTGCATGTCGAAGACCAGGGTTCAATTCCCCACATGGGTACATTGTGTGAAGCCCATTACTGGTGTCCCCTGTCGTGATATTGCAGGAATATTGCTAAAAGCGTCGTAAAACTATACTCACTCACTCTACATATTAATTGAAACCTCTTTCAACATTAATCCTATTTACTGTACAGATTTTTATCCTGTGCACTAATGTACAAGCATACTGTTTGGAGTACAACTGGTGATGATGTGCTGACTTTTCCGTGTTTTAAACTTTAGTTGGATATAGATGCACTACAATAGCACCGTTCGTGACAGTGGACTTCCTGGGATCGGGGTGAACTAAGTTTGGGGACAATCCCTTGTGAACAAGCAACATCTCATAATTAACCTTCCTACTTAATTGGAGGTGGGGTTACTTGTAATTAGTTTTATCAGATATGTTTTTTATAAACATCAAACCTTGAAAGTGTCTTGGTGCTCGTAAGAATGATAGTCATGTTGGGATTGTTGTGTTATGACAAAAGTTTTCACTGTTTTTCAATTCAAAATGTAACTTTGTTCAAATCTGAATGAGTGGAAGACAACAAGAACAGTGTGTTCCCTGGGGATGTAAATGATGCAGCTTAATTGAATTGTTAAATCAATAAAGGGGATATAGTGTGCCAGAACTTAAGGGCAATGTACTTCCAGTGTGCAGAGTTGTTTAACTTGGCAATACCAGGATCTGCTGATGTTTTATTGTGATTATGATCCTTGGTTTGCCAGAAACATACCCATGTTGGTAGATTTCAGTTTATCATCCAAAACTGTGTTCCACAGGAGATATTGCTTATGTGAGATCAAACGATGTTTCCTAGGAGATATCGTTTTGACAGTAGATTTTGTACAATGCCCTGACTGCTATGACGTCATGAACTTGATGACGTCAGAATGCTATGGTGGGGAGGGGGGTGGTGGGGCAGTGTGGATCCAGATTGGAATTGGTCTGAGTGGAATATAATGCTGATAATGGTTGCTAAGTATGAACAGATCAAGGCGAATGTTGTTTTTATCTACCTTTGAAGGCCTGGGTTAAAATTATTCTTCAGCATCCCCATGCTTGTCGTAAGAGGTGACTCATGGCATAGGGTGGTCTAGCTTGTTGACTTGGTTGACACATGTCATCGTATTGGAATTCCATAGATTCATACTCATGCTGTTGATCACTCTATTGTCTGATCCAGACTTGATTCTTTACAGACCACCACCATTTAGCTGGAATATTGCAGAGTGCAACATTAAACAACAAACAAACTAACCTTACTCCCCCTATTTCAAGGATATAGGGGTGATGGGGTAGCCCAGTAAACCGTTCGCTCGTCACGTCAAAGACCCGGGTTCAATTCCCACATGGGTACAATGTGTGAAGCCCATTTCTGGTGTCCCCAGCCGTGATATTGCTGGAATATTGCTAAAAGCAGCATAAAACCATACTTACTCACTCACTAATTGAGACATATGAAAGATATGTATCAACCTGTCATCCTGCTTCAGCAAATATTAGTTTAGCTGATTACTTCACTGCAGAAGTAGCAGTTATGTACACAGTTAATCTTTGTTGACAGATATCATAAAAAATGTATTTTTCCTTTATGAAAAAATACAACTTATATCATGCATATATGAAAATGAACTTCAGCACCACCGTCAAAGCCATAAGCATGTACCTCCTTCCTTTGACAGGACAAATCCAGGAAAAAAGTACTGCAATTGTGTCTCCCAGCTAAGCGAACAGCAGTTAGAAACACATTCATCCTGACCTGTGAGGGACAGTTATCACGGGTAAACACCTTCTTAATAACCCCACTGTTCTATCTTTACAGGCTGCATGTCAGGTCTAATCGGTATCCTTAAAAACACTCCGCTTCTCTTGGGCCAGGACCTGTTTCTAGAGTGATGTTGTGGCACATAAAGATGAAAGGTGATTTAGAATGTGTGAGGCTGCACTTTGGCTTTGTTCATGACAAGATGGTGGGCGAGAGAAACCATTGTACCACATGTTGGAGTAAGCGAGTGAGTGAGTTTAATTTTCCACGGCTTTTAGCAATATTCCAGCAATATCACGGCAGGGTATACCAGAAATGGGCTTCACACATTGTAACCATGTGGGGAATCGAACCCGGGTCTTCAGTGTGACGAATGAATGCTTTAACCACTAGGCTACCCCACCGCCCCTTAGGCATAAGAGGTACAAATGTACAGTTAAGAGTTAATAGCATGGCAGGATGGTTTTATATGGAAGATTGTACAGTTTTCATGATGATTTTACAAGTTGTACATATTTTTGTTAAAACACTTATTTGTTTACAGTTAAACAATTCTTTAAATACTTGAACACATTGGGTTTTTTTTAAATAATGGTTTGGGATATATGAAGGAGGTACAACACATACTGGATTACAATGGTTTCAGCTACGTCTTATTAAATCCCTACTCTGTGATAAATTCTGAATTCATTCCTCTTTTAAGGCAAAGACTTCAGGACAATTATAATAATAGCACAATGGCAAAGTCAATTATGGCAATCCCCATCACTCTACTTGTACAAGGAATATAAAATGTTACATAAAGTCAAGAATTATCTGATTAAAGTTGGAAATATTAAGCACAGAAGATGTAAACTCCGTCTTTCGTCGCACATACACATTGAGACAGGGAGACACGGCAGCAACCGAGTAGAACGGAGTCAGACAAAATGCATGAAGTGTAACAGCGATGAAATAGAAGATGAATATCACTTCATCATTGAATGCCCAATCTACAGGGATCTAAGAAGTAAATATTTAAAGCAATATTATTTTAAACAAACTTCAGTTTACAAATTTCTACAATTATTTTCAACAAATAACGTAAAGGAATTAAGAAACTTAGCAATATGCGTGTATAAAGCTTTCCAGCGACGAAACAATTAATCTGCATAAAAAGCTTATCATTTGCTACATCCTCGCTATCTTGATAGCATTTCAAAATATGATGTATATGGCCAGAGGCCATTTATCATGGCTTGTGTCAATAAAAGTTTCTGTCTGTCTGTCTGTCTGTCTGTCTGTCTGTCTGTGTTTTCTGGTAACATTTGAAGAAAGGTCTGAGAAAAATTTAATGAAATTCATCACCATCGCAGAGCTTACTTATTCTTTCTTTTGGGGGATATTGTGTCACCTACCTAATTCTACAGGTAGCTGATCAAAATTAGTTGTATGTCAACAAGGCTTTATAATAAGTAGTTGTTACTGTGAAAGTTAAAACTCTTCCTTTTCACTGTGATGGAGATTTGTAACTTGCCATCGTGATTTTAGCTGTGCCATCAAGATTTTAATTGCACCATCATGATTTTAATCATGCCATCTGATTTTAATTGCACCATCATGATTTTAATCATGACAGATGATTTTAATCATGTCGTATGATTTTAATTGCATCATCATGATTTTAATCATGCTATCTGATTTTAATCATGACATTGATTTAAATGAACCATCATGATTTTAATCATGACATATGATTTTAATCATGACATATGATCTTAATTGCACATCATGATTTTAATCATGCCATATGATTTTAATTGCACCATTTTTTAATCATGCCATAATTTTAATTGCATCATCATGATTTTAATCATGCCATTTAATTTTAATCGCACTTCATTATGATTTTAACCATGCCATATGATTTTAATCATGCCACCATCATGATTTTCATTATGCCATATGATTTTAATTCAATTATGATTTTTAATTGCACCATCATTGATTTTAATCCATATGATTTTAATTGCAGCATCATGATTTTAATCATGCCATATGATTTTAATTGCACCATCATGATTTTAATCATGCCATATGATTTTAATCATGCCATATGATTTTAATTGCACCATCATGATTTTAATCATGCAATATGATTTTAATTATGCACCATCATGATTTTAATCATGCCATATGATTTTAATCATGCCATATGATTTTAATTGCACCATCATGATTTTAATCATGCCATATGATTTTAATTGCACCATCATGATTTTAATCATGCCATATGATTTTAATTGCACCATCATGATTTTAATCATGCCATATGATTTTAATCATGCCATATGATTTTAATTGCACCATCATGATTTTAATCATGCCATATGATTTTAATTGCACCATCATGATTTTAATCATGCCATATGATTTTAATTGCACCATCATGATTTTAATCATGCCATATGATTTTAATTGCACCATCATGATTTTAATCATGCCATATGATTTTAATTGCACCATCATGATTTTAATCATGCCATATGATTTTAATTGCACCATCATGATTTTAATCATGCCATATGATTTTAATTGCACCATCATGATTTTAATCATGCCATATGATTTTAATTGCACCATCATGATTTTAATCATGCCATATGATTTTAATCATGCCATATGATTTTAATTGCACATCATGATTTTAATCATGCTATATGATTTTAATTGCACCATCATGTTTTTTATCTTGCCATATGATTTTAATTGCACCATCATGATTTTAACCATGCCATATGATTTTAATTGCACCATCATGATTTTAATCATGCCATATGATTTTAATCGCACCATCATGTTTTTATCTTGCCATATGATTTTAATTGCACCATCATGATTTTAACTATGCCATATGATTTTAATTGCACCATCATGATTTTAATCATGTCATATGATTTTAATTGCACCATCATGATTTTAATCAAGCCATATGATTTCAATTGCACCATCATGATTTTAATCATGCCATCATATGATTTTAATTGCACCATCATGATTTTAACCATGCCATATGATTTTTAATCATGCCATATGATTTTAATTGCACCATCATCATTTTAATCATGCCATATGATTTTAATTGCACCATCATCATTTTAACCATGCCATATGATTTTAATCATGCCATATGATTTTAATTGCACCATCATCATTTTAATCAAGCCATATGATTTCAATTGCACCATCATGATTTTAATCATGTCATATGATTTTAATTGCACCATCATGATTTTAACCATGCAATATGATTATAATCATGCCATATGATTTTAATTGCACCATCATCATTTTAATCATGCCATATGATTTTAATTGCACCATCATCATTTTAATTGCACCATATGATTTTAATCATGCCATATGATTTTAATTGCACCATCATGATTTTAATCATGCCATGTGATTTTAATTGCACCATCATCATTTTAATCATGCCATATGATTTTAATCATGCCGTATGATTTTAATCGCACCATCATGATTTTAATTGAGCCGCATGATTTTAATTGCACCATTATTTTAACTATGCCATATGATTTTAATCATGCCGTATTATGATTTTAATCATTACCATCATGATTTTAACCATGCCATATGATTTTAACCATGCCATTATGATTTTAATCATGCCATTATGGTTTTAACTATTTTAATTGCACCATTATGATTTTAAACATGCCATAACATTTTAGCTGAACCATTGTGATTTTAACCATGCCATAATGATTTTAATCGCGTCATTTTGCTTTTAACCATGAGATCATTATTTTAGTCATGCCATAAACAATGACATACAGGGAAGCTCAATCCCTGGTGTTTGCAGATGAGCTTCTTTAAGGTTTAATCACCAGTGAATGATGCTTCAATCCATTGCTTTTATATAAATTCAGATGTAAAGCAGGTTTTGTTGTAACATGTAATACAATGTTTGAATAGAGAATACTTTGATTGTTTGGTGCATGTCCTTGAAAATGTGTTTAAGTAAACCGAGAATAAAAACAGCAAGAAGCTGACAAGGAGATCAGTTATTAAGTTCGTGTTTTTTCCTTACACTCATGTTGGTTTACAGAATAAGCCACAAATGCATTGTCATGGATAAAGGTAAACATTCAATGAAATGCAGCTATGAGGGTTAATGTCAAAATTGAATCCTACTTTCGCGGAATTGGATTCCAATATTTGCCGAGACTGACGATGGAAGTTTGGTCTTGTTCAACATGGTTTTTTTTTTCCAAAAGCACTCTGCTTGAGTTTTTAGAAATGGAAATCGCAAAAAGGGTCCTTGATTAATTGGGTTTTTGTAATTCATTATTTCTTGAGTAATGTGAGAGGTTGTCCTTCAATTTCCCTGAATGTGTGTTATTGAGAAATAGGAAGTGGTCAGCACGACTTTTTAGTCAGTTACATGCTTTTTGAGCATGTGAGTGAGTTGAGTTTTATGCCGCACCCAGCAATATTCCAGCTATATGGCAGCGGTTTGTAAATAATCGAGTCTGGACCAGACAGTCCAGTGATCAACAGCATGAGCTTCAATGTACACATTTGGATACGTTGACATGTGTCAAACAATCAGTGAGCCTGACCACCTGATCCCATTAGTCGCCTCTGACAAAAAGCATGGGTTACTGAAGATCAATTCTAACCTGGATCTTTACGAGTTCAGTTAAAGAGGTAACTAAGCTGTTTTAAAATACAGTTCTGAGGCAGTTTCCTAGTTTGCCTTGAGCATATGTTACCTTGTTGGATCCTTGGTTTGCCTTTGCAAGTGTTTGGTGGGTATCACATATGGGGCAGAATTCGCTCAATTTGGGCAAAATCCTGGGATTATAACATTTTATTGGTTATTTATAAACACATGCTCTTGATTAAGTTGTAATCAAAAAGTGGACTGTACTTTAATGAGAGATTTCTCTTCAGTATGGAAAGGGTCAAGTTGCATGTAATTCCGAAGGTATGCTGATATTGGTTATTATCCCCCGCAACAACGAAGTTGCGGGGGATATAGAAACGAGTTCTGTCCGTCCGTCCGTGCGTCCGTCACACTTTGTCCAAAGCATATCTCCTAAACTATTGGTGATATCTTAACCAAACTTGGTACACATATCAACCATTATCCCTAGATGTGCCTTTTAGGGGTTAGACCCAGATGGGAATTACGGTTTCCATGGAAACATGACTATGAGGCTGTGACTTCGAGGATGTCATCTTGTCCGG